AATTGTCACAATTCTAAAACGACTCAAATACTGCAAAAATGGAGCTCAAAAAGACAGTCACTGAGCACTTAACTGTCATAAATCCTATTAACTGGAACTAGCCAATTCTTTAAACATTAGATGCTCACCATCAAATGTTCCCAAAAATAAAGTAAAGCCGCCTTCTTTGACCAAGTTTTGAGTAGAGAAGTATTCAAGGTGACACACTTGCCGGAGCTGATACATTTATCCATATACAGACTCGGGGAAACACCAGAATAGTTCATCTTCTAAAGTTGCTCTGGATGAAAAAGTAATGGCAAAAAATATGCAGCAACCAGAAGGGACATCCACAAGAATATCATGCTTAAGAAATTACTGGTAGTAAGCAGGAGATATTAACCAGATCAATGCTTGAAAACAATAGTCAAATTCTAATTTCCTTTACTATAAAATAAATATATTATGACCACAAAGATACTGTTCAAATGTAGTAAACAGAAAGCAGATGTTGGAGAAACTAACACAGCTCGAATCTGCTAATGAAGCTCATCCTTTTTGTTTTTAGGTCGTGGTGGTCTTAGGGCTCTCCAGTTAAGTTTGGTATGCTTTGGCTGCTTGCAGGAATCCTTACTGTTGTTCCGTGATGAATGTTGATTAGCTTCTATGTTTTTTGGTAATTTGTTGGGATATTGTGGTTCAGACACTATATCAGACTGTCTCCTTTTATGGTCGCCATTAGGCTCAGAATCTTGCTCAAGTTTTGAGCATTCAGCTACATTTGGTGAAGATCCACTTTCTCTGTGGTAAAACCAAAAATATAACATCAGAAGGTCACTTTACAATGTGTGATTCTCCATGTCTACGTCCACAAACGTTTTCTATTTCAACATACAAGTTTATCTAATTAAACATGGGATAAATCCCCGGTAAAAACTGCAAGCTTCCAGAACCTTGGTCCATATAGAGAGGTCTAGAAATAATAGCGAAGGTATCTACAAGTAAAGCTTTAGTCATGCTGCATGTGTGACCCATGTTTCTGTATGAAACATACTGTAGGAGTGAGTAAAGTATGCATACATTCCCGTGCAAGAGTAATCTCAAGGGGAAAGATTCATCACATAAGAACTGAAGAGTAACCCAATTTTAAAAAGATCTTCAGTGATCAGGAATCAAATAAACCAATCAACTATATATCCTTCTATATATACTTTTTTTTCAGCTGACTAAATAATCCCAACTTAATTCATTTGTTCAGATGGGTAAAAAATCTCCGCAAATTTCAAGAACAAATCAATTGAAGCACAGAGGAAAAATCATAACCAAGTAATGAAAGAAGTAAAAAGTCAAGCTGTCCACCTAAATGACACTCTTCCACCTTGATTGCTGGAACAAGTAGCAGAAGTGTCTGGCGGACGAATATTTGTTGCATCTTCATTCAGTTTCTACCAAGAAAGATTTCTAATGAGGAGATCATCAAGCAGAGAACCATAGAAGGTTAATAGTAATTGAAAAAATTCCAGGTTACTTGAACTTTATACTCACATCAATAGAAGGATTAAAACTCTGAAAGGACATCCTTCCGATGACTGCCCCTGGGTGAGGATCCCCTTCCATTATGACCACGCTAAAAGCACGTAAATACATCCATCCAAATAAAACAATTAAGAACTTGGACCCAAGTGAGAGGGAAAATTAGGATAAACATACATTTACAACATAGAAGAAGCAAGGAACAGGTCTAACTTCGGTTTCTTTTTTCATTCCCACACCGACCTCCCAAGGTTTAAGTTAAGAGGGAAACAAGCATGGAACATATACAAAACAACTAAACCAGAAATAATAAGGAAGTATGGCACTTTATTCAGCTAATATTGTCCATAATGTCAAAGCATCAGACCTTGTTCTAATACAGAAGGGATTAAGCAAGAAACCACTTCAAAGTAATAGCTTTTACTTGATACGTGCATAGAACAAATTTATCCAAATCAACTAATAGAGAAATTATTAGAAAATATGGCCTCTTGATCTGGCTAATATCGTCTTGATTCTAGAGCATGAGACTTTCCTCCAATACGAAAAGCAATTATGCAAATAAACCAGTTAAGAGTAACATCTGAGACATTGAAAACCAATGTTTTTTCTACACCTTATAAAAAAACCATGGTTGTATAAGAAAAACTCAGATTAAAACAATTCATATCATCAGAAGCAATCACACGAACTTAAACAAGAACCAAAGTAAAAAATTAAAAAAAAAACAAACAAAATAACTCTCCTACTCTAACAATGTGCTTAAGAAAAACAGTACCATCTCCTATTAACGATTCCAGGGGGGAAAAAATTCCCTTCGGGCTTAACCTCTTCTTCTTTCTTAGCTTTCTCCTCGTTCTTAGCTGCTCTTTGCATAAACTATATAAATAAAAAAAAAAAAACAATTCCTCGTATAAGTTCAAGGGCCTGTTCATTTTTCCTTTCTAATAAACAAGTTGCTCGTACAAATCTAATTGAGAACGCTATCCAGATGGATTCAAGTAATACCCGGTTCAAACCTCGCCTGAGTTTACCAGAAAATCACAGAAAAAAAAAAAAAATAGCACTGAACCATGTTAATTACCCAAAACAAATAGAAGAGTTCGAGTAAATCTTTACCTTTAAGTTCCTCAAAGTACTGGAGATCTCTCGCTTTGCCATTGTAGTTGCTTTCAATATGCGTCGACGATGAACATATAACTTCAAAATCAAAACCTTACGCCTCTTTTCAACACTGTTTTTCTGGTGAAACAAGGAGGAGACGGCTCGCGTTTGTGATTCGGATTGGGACTAATTTAGGGTTCCGAATAAGTTTTGGGTCGGACGGTTCAGTAAAACCCAAATTAATTTTGTGGGCCGCCCTTACCGAGTTAGAGAACCGGGTCGAATATCGGTCTGTTTATATATTTTAGAAATTAAGGTTAATACATTATTATTTTTATTCACCAATTAAAAAGTATTTGATCTTTTATTTATTTATTAATATTTATTATACAAAACATGGGAAATTAAGTACAAATTATCATATTTTTTATGAATTATGATTCAAATACTAGATATGTAACGGTCCCGAAATTTAAAATGAAATATGTGTATTAAAAATGTCAAATGCAGAAACGTAATAAAAACTTTGATTAACATCCCTTACACTAAAATAAAAAATGTGCTCAAAGTATAAAAAAACAAACTAACTAAAAGTGAAACTCGAAAATAAAAGCTATAAATATAACTACGGAGTCTTCAGCCGTCCCCTTCGCCGTCTTCCTGCGGGACGGGCTCGGGAACAATGTCTTCCTGGTCTGAAATGATAAAAATAAGGAATGAGCTACACCAGCCCAGTAAAGACATCACATTATTTCACTGTCACGGAGGTAAAAGTGGGTAGCAAACACAAAAAGACCAATGGAGCATAATTTACAACAAATTCTTTTATCAATAATAAAATCATTTACTATCCACTTACCTCAGTGAAATTCATAAAATAACATACGAAAGCAATAACATTATCATCATCATGAAATCATATGAACTGTATAACATAATACTTATAATGCCTTTTGCAATTCAATCATTACACAACATATTTTTCCTCATTTACCAGCCTATTAGTATCCATGGGGATCCATAGGGGTCCCGCTACCCGCGAACCCTTAACACTTGTAATCAGATTTCAGGGTCGTCCCCATACCCCGTCTGGTATGGGCGCCAAAACTATAAACCTCAATACCCCGTCCGGTATGAGGGTGAAACGGGCCGTCCCCATACCCCGTTCGGTATGGACGTCAAAACACATAAGGTCTTCATACTCCGTCTGGTATAAGAGACCACAATTCCGGTAGGGTTCTCTACGGACCCGGTCCGTCCACCATCTCCCAGGATATCTAGTCAGGCTGACCATATTATATAATTATCAATTTACATAATATTTCATTCTCATTTTCCTCAGTCAGCATCATCAATTCACACACAAACAAGCAAACCAGTAATTTATGCCAAACAAGACAACATACAACATTGGGTTCTCAGTCATTCAACCCATAATCAATAAAACAGTAATATATGCACACGAAACTATGAAATAAAAACATCAGACCTCATACTGCATTTAAAACCGTAAAATAGGCCAAACAACAGCTAACCGACAAACACACCAGACTCGGGCTCCATTAGCGACCTTAAACAATTTCACACATCTGTTGATTCATGAAATACCGTTTTATCATTTATTGAACTTTAATACCGTGATAGAAAATAGGGTGAGGGGTTCTTACTTGTTTCGGGGTCCGAATACGGCTCTACAGTGCACCTGCAGACTGTCCCTAATTTTCCCTGAATTTTTTCCGGGGAACTAAAACGCACTACTGGTACCTACACGTGTCACAAAAATCCCAAATTAGACCCAGGACCCCTTTCGGCCAATATCGCAATTCCGGCACGGTGGCTCCGTCGTGCTCCGGCGACGCGGTGGCGATTCGCTTCGGGTTGGCCGTTTTCGACCGAATTCGGCCACACTCGCATCGGTCCCTGCGATAAAACAACCCTAGGGCCCACGGGGGGCCAAAAAAATTACGAAAAATCGAAGCTTACCGGCGGCAGTGCTCTCGGGTGCGGCGGCTCTCCGGCAAGGTTCGTGTTTTGGTGATTTGGCTCCGATCAACCTGTAGAGAAATGAATGGTGATCACGGTGATATAAAAATTGTATCAAAAGGAGGCCGGGAAGGGCCTCATCGGAGGCAAAAATCGAGGAGGGACGCGGCGGCGCCGCTGGGTTTTGGCCGTTTGGCCGGGATTTTGGCTCCGACTTGGCCACAGGGGAACTCAGCATTGAAAAATGAGCCGGAGGTATGAAATTTACCTCGATCGGTTGTCGGAAAACTCCCCGGTGCGGCGGCAGGTGGCGGCGGCCGGCTCCTCCGGCGTCTGGTTTGTCTTCTCCGGCGAGGGCAGGCGGCTAGGGTTTTTATGGTCAGGTGTGGGAGTTTTATTTATACCCTTTTGCCTTTTAATCACAGCCGTCCATTTTGATTAAATCTGGGTCGTCCGTGCGCAAGCTTGATCTGGGCCGTCCGATCTCGCGCACGCGGATCGCCCACGTGGCCCGTTCCCGGGTCGATGTGGTCTTGCCATGTGGTAGGTCCTGGTTGGCCAAGGTTGCTGACTGGGCTGCTGATGTGGCGCTGACGTGGCACAATTTTTTTAAATTGCGTTTTGACCCCCGGTTTCCGATTTTCTTTTCAAAAATACCCACAGAATCCTAATTTTTACCCATTTTTTCCAAAATCAATTTCAATTAAATATAAATAATATTTTTACCTCATTTTATCATTATTATTAATTTTATTTTTATTAAAAAAAATTAAATTAAATTAAATTAATTAATTAAAATAATAAAATTATAAAATAAACTAAATAAAATTAATAATAATAATAAAATTAAAAAAAAAAATTAGTAGGCCTTTCAAGATATCATGATGAATAATATTTAATTATTATCAATTATTTCAAAATATTGTAATTATATAAAATGACATAATTATATTTATATTAATAATTGTTGTTAATATCTGCCAAATGAATATTATACATAAAAAAATTAATTTATTAAAATTTACATAATGAGAATATTAACAACTTGGTGATTATAAATTTACAGATGATAGATTTGATTAATTCAATTAAAATATTTTGAAAATAATCAAAACTTTATAAGACACAAAAAGGAATATGCAACCGTCCCTACATCCCACGAGGAAAAAAAAAAGGAATTATAGAATAGATTGAAATATTTTTTTAATATATGTTTATCTACACATACATAAATATACAATTTTATAAAATACCCAAAAGAAAATTATTTTATATTTTATGATAATAACTGTAAAATTATATATATTTTTTTAAAAATGAAAATAATAGTATTATCAATAATTCGAATGTTAATTGGGTAATTATTTTCTATTGTGGTTGGAGTTCAAATTTAATTTGGGCAATTTACAAATTGAGTTCTAAGTTCAATTTGTGCAACTTATGGCAAAAATAAAAAGAGGAAAACCTATATAAAAGGGTTTTTAGTGAATAAATATATATATTTATTAAAACTTTAAAATAATAATTCATTATTTATATTATTTATTTTTATTCTTGTAACTTAATTTTTGATTAAATTAATTTTTATATTTTAAAAAATTATTTATTTTAATAATTCTTTATTATTAACTACTAACACAGTTAATTTAAATATGAAGTATCAAATTTATTAATGTATTTTAAATTTATGATATATAAAATTTAATGTATATTCAATAAATAAATAAATTAATAATATTAATATTTAATAAAAAAAGGAGATTAAATAAAAAAATTAAAAATAAAAAAATTAATTTAAATAAAAATAAATAATATAATAAGGAAATGATTAGTTTATTCTTTATAAAAAAGTATCAGAACCGACCCTCCCAAAATCTCACTCCACTCTGTAGAGAGTCCCACCCCCCAGTATGCGGAGCTCCATTCCGGAGAGAAAAAGAGGAGGATACAAAACGGTGTAACTATCATCTTCATCATTCGTCCTCAATCCCAGCCCTCCACTTTAATCAGTTTCTTGATCCAAAACAAGAAAAAGTAAAATCCAATCTTGCAGTAAGCATTAAAAACGAAAACCCCTCTGTTAGTTTTCGACATTGCTGTTTTAGATTTGATCTCCATTTTCCTTTTTCCTTAGTTTCTTCCATTAATGCACTAAACCCTGCCTGCCTTTTTTCTGGTTCTTTTTTTAGCTCTTTATAGCGGTTGCGGTGTTTTTGTTAAAAATAATCTTCAGTGGGTTCTTTTACATGGGATTTGACTTTACTGTTATTTGATTTTGATTTATCACGACTTGGATTTTTTTATGTGGGTTTTTGTTTTCTGCTCCGGTAAGAACTAATTCTTCTGTTGTCTTGAGATGTGTTTGCCAGATTTCTAGGATCTCTTTCAACAGGGTATAAGCCTTTCGTTTTTTTTCTCTGGGTGATCAATCATGATATGTGATTAGTTAATCTTTTCTTGTTGGCTTTTTGCTGAGTTTGATCGTCGAAATCTGATTGGATTTTTTCAAAAAATATTGACTAGAAAGTGGTGACTCTTTGGTTTATCATTTAATAAACAACCGTCAATAGTTTCTCTTATTAAGAGTTAATTTTACTGGTTTCATAGCTTTTGTTTTCAATTCTATTGTTTTGAATTGGTTTGATCATTAGTTTTTAATGATTTCAGGCTAACATGGAGGACAGTGATTCAGTATTTAGGCGGCGGTACCGCTGTTATCCCGTGTCTTTCATTGATAAGGTGAGGGAACTATCTTTAGTATATCCTGAATAAATACTGCATTATGCAAAGGATTTGATACAATCTACTAATCTGTTTTTAGAAGCTAGCTTGTGTGTGTAGCAATACTAGAATTTGATTTGTATTGTGCTTTTAACTCTATTAAAGGGTAATTTGCCATTGAAGAAGGCAATGATCAATCTCTCGTGATATAAGCATGTTTAGTCCATTCTTATGCCTTATATTGGTCTTTGGAATAACACTTCCATTAGTGTTTCATTCTTTCCTTTTATATCAGATCCTTTATTTATGGATTGTAATTTTTAAACATGTGCAGCCACATTTGGAAAAGGGTGACAAAAGTATGTTTTTCCCTTCTTGACCACGTTCTTTTGATATGATCTCTTTTTGGAAAATTCTGAAGTTGTTCTAAGGACTTTAGAATTGATTCCTAATTAGACCTATTGTCCCTCTTTTCAGTTATTATGCCTCCCTCAGCTCTAGACTGCCTTGGTAAGTTGTTTCATGTCGATGCAGCAAAATTTAATTTTGCAGCTTCTCCTTATTCTAATCCCAGGCTTTAATTTTACAATATCAAACTTGTGCTCTCCAGCTTCTATGCATATTGACTACCCAATGTTATTCAATCTAAGTAATCCTTCTGCTGAGAAAGTTACCCACTGTGGTGTTCTAGAGTTCATTGCAGATGAGGGCTTAGTATACTTACCATACTGGGTATGCCCTCTCTTTCTCTCTCATATACACACACAGAATTCGCGTGTATACATACAGATGCTCATCATTTATGTATGTGAGCTTCATATCATCTTGCTTCTTATTTGATTTCTTTTGTTTGACAGATGATGGAGAACATGCTGCTGCAAGAGGGAGATATTGTGCACGTAAGGAATGCCAGTTTAGCGAAGGGAACTTATGTGAAGTTGCAGCCCCATACGAAGGACTTTTTGGATATCTCCAACCCCAAGGCCATGTTTGTCTTCAGACATTTCCTAGTTGGTGTCTACAGGATTAAAATGTTTTATCTGAATCTGTTTCTTCTTAACTTTCTTCCTATTTTATTTTCAGCTTAGAGACTACATTGAGGAGCTACTCTTGCTTAACCAGCGGTGATACAATAATGGTCCTTTACAACAATAAGAAGTACTATATTGACATAGTGGAAACAAAACCCTCCTCTGCCATTAGTATTATTGAAACAGACTGCGAAGTGGACTTTGCTCCTCCTCTTGACTATAAAGAAACTGAGAAAACAGCACCATCTGTTTGCTCAAGGAAGACACCTCCTGAAGGTTTGTATTTAATTATTATTTGTTTATGTGTTTTTCTAGGGTTCCTTCAAGTTATTAGTTCTCTCTCATCGGTATACCTAATAAAGAGGTGTTAAAAGACACTTAACATTCTTTGAGAAACTCCCTTGAACTTCAACATTTCAGTTCAAGAAGAACCAGCCAGAAAAATTGCCAGGTTCAGCCCATTCACTGGTTCTGCAAGGCGCTTAGATGGCAAACCCTCTACACAGCCAAGTGCATCATCTACCTTGCCTGTGCTGGAGCAACAACAACCAAATGCTGACAATATAACTGCTGATTCAAAGTCATCAAGTTCCAATTCACGCTTACATTCTGGGAAACTTGTGTTCGGTTCAAATGCAAACCAGATCTCAAAAGAATCAAACCAGACTGGAAAAGAAATATCCAACGTATGTCAACATAAGCTTGGTCATCATATTTCCTCATATCAAAAGTGGTGTTCTTGCTTATTAACTCCTCAAAAATTATCCTGTACCGTAGGTTGCCGGGAAGGAGATCAATCAAGAGCTGACTCAAAAAGCCAAGGAACCAAAGTTCCAGGCATTTTCGGGGAAGAAGTATTCATTGAAGAGCTAATCTTGGTGTAGCTCCTTACATTCCACCTTTTTTTTTCTTTTGGATAGGCAATAATTGTAGATATTGACAGCATGCTTGATGGTGAGAAAATCATATTGATGATGGATATGGTAAAGGTTTCATTTTCTCTTTATCCTCTGTCAGTAATCTTTCATCAAACTAATCAATTATACTTAAAAATGAGAATTCTTGATGTAAATTGGGATTTAAGTCTGCAGCTCAGAAGGCAACATTTGCTTGAGCAAGAAGATGTTTTATTATTGACTACAAACTGAGAAACAGTCCCAAATTATGATTACATTGTCTCAAGAATAGAAGGTTATCTTTTTCTGAAACACCAGAAAACCTAATATTCTTCTTGTCAGAGGACTAACGAATCAAGCTCTAACTGTAGTTTCAATAGAAATCTTTCCCGAATATCTGATCTCTTCAGCCTTCTCAGTTGCTTCAAAGACCGCAGGAAGCGCTTCCCGGATATTGTGAATGTGTTCTAAGGCAAAATCCACACCTTCAGCTCTGTGAGAATTGCCTACCTGCATTTATTTCACATTAATGTACCGTAAGAAGTACTCCACTTCATCAAGGAAATTTTTTACTCATAGTTTCAGTAAACAGAAGCTTACCCACACAGTGTGAAGACCCATGAGTTTGCCAGTCTGTAAATTGCGGAGACTATCATCGAAAAACAACTGGATGACAAAGACAATATCTTAAATACACTAACTTTACTAAAAAAAACCTATATTAAATTCTAAAAATGTTATGAAATGCAAATCATAAACACTCCGTCTACAAAGAAACAAGATTAACTTGTAAGCGGGATTGAGTTTAATTGCTTTGCGATGAAGGCATGAGTATTTTCTCAATAAATTTCCTTATTTCAGGAAAAATTATGAAAGACAAAGAACATGAGTAAATGTCTTACTGTTTTTTGAGGGCTAATATTGGCAAGCTTGAAGACTTGTTGGAATGCTTCTTCAAAAGGTTTGCAGATAACTGGAGTTTTGGGCAGTTGTGCATTAGGGCTCTTGTGATAGTTACCATTATCATAATTGCTGTTGTCAAAGCTTGAAACAATATTGTCTTTGTTGGAGGGATTTAGAGTCTCAAAGCATATAACTCCTTCAAAGCAGTCCTCTAATCCAAGCCCACCAAGCACTTTTGCTGCATGAGCCTTGTCTGCATTTGTAAACACCTTGACCAAAAATATCATATATCAGAATTACCCTCAATTTTCTTTTGTCAAAAAAATAAAAAAGAAATTACTTGTGAGTTCTACAAAAAAAACTCACAATCCTCCTCTGAGGCAGGCTGAGTAAAAGACTTCTCAACACAGGATCAGGCTTTAGCATTGTGTAGGGTAACCTCCCATGAACTTCCCTGTAAAGGTTACAGTTCATGAGATCTCTATTATATAAGAAATGGACATCAATCTCCATCTTTGACTTATACAAAATTATAATTTTTTTAAAAAAGAGAAAGGGACAATTTGTTATCTATAATACTGGATATATGCAAATAAAAATCAGTATTAGATTAAAAGGGGGAATCCAGTGCAGTACCTGTGGAAGTCATCAGGGTCAAAGCTGAAGCCTATTGCCTAAAGAGAAAAACAAATCAACCAATTCATTAACTAAACATCTCTAGATCTAAACACTGGCAGAAAAAATTCAACAGACACGAAAATCATACCTTCAGACCAGCCAATGTTGTACCGTAATGCTTGTAAAGTGAAACGCAAAGTTCAGGGACTTTCTCCTCCTCTATGCCAAGTTTCTTAAGCATGTATTCTATAATTTATTTAAAGAGACAAAAATCAATGATAATCTTCAGTGACGAAATGAAGGGACAATCAAAAGAGAAAAATAAGGGAGTTCTTCGTGTAGAAAACCTTGAATGTTCTTGGTAACTTCCACTGCCAAACCAGAACTAAGAGGATAGAGGGTGTCATCTAGATCTGGAAAATGAGAAGAAAAAATTCATAAATTAAGTAAATAATAAGCACATTGTTCACAAGTCTTCCCGGAAAATGGGATTTTCGGGAAAATCTTACCAAACAGAAGACATTCATATTTTGTGTTTGAATCCTGTTGGATCGTTCCCTCGTATTCCATTGTGATCCAAAACACTTGGAGAAAACTACAAACCCGAAAAAAAAAAACACAACAGAAATCCAAACTCAATCAGAAATGATTCAATCGAATAAATTACAGTTAACAGAAAATGTACATTGAAATTGAATGAAGTTTTCCTTTTCTTTTTTCCCGGGGGAAGAAATTATTACCCCAAACTGGATAGGGATGGCGGAGGACGCTGTAAAACGCCAGAGACTGTAAATGAAACGCAAAGCGAAAGGAAAAAGCGAGAGAGAGGGAAGTTTAAAGCAAGACGAGTGGTGGCTTTTAATAGATGGCGTTGAGTGAAAAAGACGGACAAATCACGTGCAGTTTATTTTTTCGACTTCGATTGAAAAAAAAAAGTCTCGTAGGAGACCGGAAAATAATTAATACGTCGGGACTTACGTGGGCCAATCGAAAACAGCCACGTAGATCTCTTTCCGAGAGGAATTCTGAACCTGACACGTGTTTGATTTTATAGGTTATGGAGTGTGAACTGACGTGACAGATGACGTCCTCATAATCGCGACGCGGTTTGCCACGTTTCTTTCGCTTCAAGTTAAAAGTACTAGAACTTTCGGTTCACTAGTTTTAATTTTGGGACACGACAATTTTTTTTTTCTTCTTCTACATATAAAATAATTTGTTCTCTTTTTATATTTATTATTAAAATAAAAAAATTTAAAAATTTTTAATAATCGAAATAATTTTAAAAATAAAGAAATATTAATACGTTTATTTTATTTTTATAGTTAAATATAAAAAGAATAAAAAATTCACACGTGTTATTAATGGTTTTACTTTATAATAATATAATTGATTAATATTTTAACCAAATACAGCATGTAAATATGTATGTGTGTGTGTGTGTGTATATATAGATATATATCGATTATCGAATTTTAAATTAGAGTTTGAAAATGAAATTAAAATTTTATCCCCTTGGATTTGGATATGAAGCGAATATTTGGGAAGCCACTAATTATTGGTTTCTTTGTATTAAAATAAGTTTGCCTTCATTGTGGGTAGTGAATCACATGCCTCTAACTAAAGGAAAAGATCACCACTGCATTAATTCCAACGTTCAACGTGACAGATAATGCTGTTTTTTATACTTCAAAAATTCTTAATGATTTAATTAATTAATTAATTAATTAACTATAGCTCAATTTAATTAAGATTAATATTTCGGCAATAAATAAATGTTGTTTTGATTTTTAATTAGAGTAGGATCTGATTTTTAGGATTATGTCTTACGAAATTAATTAATTTCATATAAATTTTCTACTTTTAATTACAATGAAAAAAAAAAAATAACATTCAATATCAATGGGTTCAAAATTATTAGATTATGTCTATTTTATTTAAATTAAATCACTAGATATTAGTTATTTAATATTACATAGACTAGTTATAATTTATATATTTGGTATAAAAATAAATTAACTTCACTAATATTTTTAACCATACATTCATAAATTTCTACTTCCATATATCACAGAATGAATTACAAAAACAATTTAACCCGAATTAAACATAAAATTAATATAAATCACTTATTGTATGATTTTCTTTTTTTTTTTTCATTTTTTCTATTTTATAGAATTACAAAATTAATTTAATTTAATGTATCTACTAATATCAAAAATAGGCAAGCAAATTTGGATTTTTTTTTTGTTTTTAGCTAATATATTAAGATTGGCATATTTAATTTTTTTGTTTTTTAGTGTAAGATGTTCTTATACTTGATATTAGAATATGATATAGAATACATATATAATTTTATATTAACATCAAGGTAAACAACTTTTTCTTCTAATAATTGAAAGTTACATGTAGTAAATACAATAATCAAAATCATATGGTAATAGTAATTGCCTCTCGATTTCTCTACAAGAAGGCTCGAGTTTGATTCGTGTCAGTCACACTCGACTTTACAATAATATTATTTTTGTATCTAACAGGAAGTTATTAGGCTGTAACTGAGGTCTCAATTGCAACCTTCCCTGAATACCTCACTCTTTCTGATTTCTTGCTGCTTTCTTCCCATAGCTCGGGCAATGCTTCCTTGATGTTGTGGATGCTCTCCAACGCGTAATCAACTCCGGTTGTTCTCCGAGAAGTTCCGATCTGTCACCCGTAAAAATTTAATCCATTAATATATATAACTCACGTATCAATATTATGACGAATAATTTGTCTTAGTTGATTCAAAAAAAAAAATATAGACGTACCAAAACAGTATGCAGACCCATAAGTTTCCCTGTCTGGATGTTCCGGATACTATCATCAAAAAATAACTATAAAAATAGAAAGAAAATTAGACTTATGAAAGTTCAAATTAACATTCCAATACTAGTAATTATGGATGATTATGGATTTGATTAGTCTTACTGTCTTCTGAGGATTGATTTTAGCAATCTCGAAAGCTTGCTCAAACGCCTTTTCGAATGGTTTGCACACGATTGGAGTCCTTAGGAGAGCTGAATCATGATTGGTGCCATTGAGAAATTCAGTGCTGGTGTTTTGGAGTTCATCTGAATCGGAAGGATTGCCAGTATCTTTGTCGCCGGGGTTAAGTGTTTCGAAACATATAATCATTTCGAAACAATCCTCCAATCCAAGCTTAGCTAGAGCTTTGGCCACATGTACCTTATCTCCATTTGAGAAAACCTATTTCACAATCAGAATACTCCGTTTATGAACTTCCAACTTTCCAAGATTTTTGAGAAATTTGAATAGGCGAGGAAACAAACTTACAATTTTTCGAAGAGGCAAGTTAAGAAGGAGACTCCTCAGGACAGGATCAGGTTTCAGATTCTCATAAGGTAATCTTCCATGCACAAAACTGAAATTTAGAGAAAAAAGAAAATCAAGATCATTCACTTGATCATTTTCTGGAAAAAAAAGGGTTTGAAGTCTCAGATTTGAAAAGGGAGTACCTATGGTAGTCATCATTGTCAAAATCATAGCCAATTGCCTTGAGACCAGCCATTGACGTCCCATAATTTCTGTACAACACTTGATTTATCTCTGAAACTTTGCTTTCCTCTATACCCAGCTTCTGAACCATAAATTCTACAACCAAAAAAGAGAAGAAAATTGGGATTTCCTAAACTTCTCGTCCAAAAAACTGCAGAAATTTCCAGAGACAAGAAAATTGTACAAATATATACATATATATAATATTATTTTGTTACCTTCGATGTTCTTAGTACATGCTTTGGACAAACCAGAACTCAGAGGATAAAGGGTATCATCCAAGTCTGAAAAGAAAAAAAAAAAAAAAGTTAGATTTCAGAAAGAGGTGATGATGACCAGACAAGTAAATTTTCTCACCAAAAAGAAGACAATCATATCTTGGAGAACCTAGAGAGTTGTTGTACTGGTTTTCATACTCCATTTTTTTTTCCTACTAAAGAAACTGCCAGGAAAAAAGAGAAGGAGAAGACGAAAACTATCACTAAAAATTATGATAGAAACAAGAAGAAAGAAGAAAAAAACAAGTGAATTGCAGAATGCCAACCTCAAAAAAGCTGAATATAAAAGCCGAGCAGAGCTGAGAGCTTAATGAAACGAAATTAACGGAGGTTGGAGAAGAGAAATGTAATGAAGAGATGGATTATGAGGTGGGGAGATGGTGGGTTTATATAGAAAACCAATAGAAGCATCTACGTGGAAACTCAGGTATTTCTTACCTGCTTTCTTTTAATTGGGTCAGAGGTATGAAAAATAAATCAAATTCAGTTGATGACTCGGGGGGGGAGCCATAACTTTCTGACTCAGCTCCCATGTCAAGCTTTAATTTAAATTAAAAATAAAAATAAAATTTCACGAGCATATATATTAAGTAAATTCAATAAATTTAACCAGCAAATTTTGAAATTTCTTTTTCTTGCTTTTTAATAAAAATTTAAAATGAACATGGTAATTGTTATTAGACAATAATAATCAATATCTAAAAAATTATATAACCAAGCATATAACAAAACATAATCACATGTATATATGACAATTCAATAAATATATATTGCTTATATTGTAAGGAACCTACACGTACTTCAAAATATTTTAATAAGAAAATAACTAAAGATATTATTTTTTATTCTTCAAATTAAAAAATAATAATTACTGTCGCAAATGATAATTTAATTAAAAAAAATTAAATTAATAAATGAATATTTCAATATTCAAAAGATTTATTTTAGAAAAAAAAAAGCATTGCCATTACTATTAAATTTAAATAAAAAGCTAGTCTTGATAGTTTAATTAATACAATAGAAGGAGTCATTTTTTTAATTAACAGCACGTGAGGAAGCAGATTAAATATTAATAATTAAATTATGAGCAGTATTACTTTGATTAGTGCTGCCATTAAAGTAATAATTTAATGTCATAATTCTCGTGCGGTTGGCTAAACTCACGCCGTTCACATCTTTATTGGGCAGGTAATTTATTAGGTACAGTTTTTAGATTGTTCACATTTCATATTACACCTTTTAATTTGAATTTTTGGGTATTTGAGATTAATTTTTTTTCTTACATAATTTTAAGAGTGCAACACTATATTAATTTGTACTTGGAGATGGATTATAAAAAAAAATTAAAAATTAAAATTAATAATATTTTAAAAATATCAAAGTAATTTAAAATTCAAATCCCGAACTTAAGGACCCATTTGACTTGACAATATAAAACTAGGTTAGACTCGATTGATACGAAATCGAGCCGAACAAAATTACCTTTTTCGTGGCAATAATAAACAAGCCAACCTAATATGACCAAGTAAAACTAATATCTAATTCTAAGTTGGTAAAATAATTGAAAGTGATTATGAGATATATATCATAATACTTTATTTTTATTTTTTTTCAATTTCTAATATATATATATATATCATAAATATTGAAATATTTAGCTGAATTAGTAACAAACAGATCAATTTTTATTAGTATTAATTTATTTTTATGTCATGGTTTGTACTAAGTAGGTGTTTTGTATAATAATTGTCATTGTCTGTGCATAAAAATAAATCAGGGTTTTAAAAGATGATGACAGTACTCACCATCACTACAAAAAAGAAATGGTGGTGGTGGAATGTGATGTTTCACTGCATCAATATATATATATATATATATATATATATATTTAAACATATTTACACGAGAGATATTTTGTTGGCTGAACCACACATATTATTGGAAGTGGAGAAACCATACCCCTTCCTTTAATTTCCATATTAAGCACTTGGTTATATCAACGATATTAATGTATATATGCAAAATCATACACGCATATGCTCTTTGCTATAAATAAATATATATATATATATATATGTGCAACTATATACATTCATCATTCATCACTTTTAATTAGTTTACTCCTATTTATTACAGATTACTTTTAATAGTTCAAGTTAGGCAGATGAGATACTCAGACCTCTCATTTCATGTGGTCCATTCATGATTTACCAATTGTTACATCATAAGAATTAAGATGTAAAAAAGTTGATAATCATAAAACATTTTTTGTGAAGAGAAAGTTTTGATCAATAAAATACCACACTGGACTGTTTTAATGAACACTTACAAGGTCCTAAACTATGAAAGAAATCCCAATAAGATACTCTTTGACTTACTATACATAAAAAGAGCAAGAGCAAAGTGTTGACAGACCACCAATTCAGCACACGGCCAGTTGAATTTTCCTTTGTCATCCACCACAAGAAATAATTGTATGTCACATCAGTTGAAAATAAAAATTTGTTGAATATATAAGATTCAATTCAATGTTTTCTCTTGTGGGTCAGTATGTTGATTTTGGACGACCCAGTTGATATTCATATGTAGATTTGTGGAGGCAGATACATAAATTATTTACAACTAATTCAACACCATTAAGGACTTTAATTCTAGTAAGTTGCTTGCATTTTGAAAAGTACCTGGAGGAAGACAGAACCTTGAAGTGGTTAAAATGTACATATAGAAAATTCCCAAGTCACCAAAATTTTCTTTTAATTATTATTAACCAACAGGAAGAAGCAAGGGCTCTAACCTTCAGTTTACATACAAGAGTAGAACCCATCAAGAAATTAAATTACTTCTTCATAGTTTGGCTAGAGGAAGGAAATGGTAAAGGGAATTTTACAAATCTGTTCATTTAAAAGAAAACTGGAAAACATTTTAGTAGGTTAATGTACAAATCACGACATTCCCATTTATTAAGTAGGGACTACCTGAGGTTCCAGAGGAGAAGAAGAAGATGATCCATCATCTTCTACAGTTCTACTCTCTTGAGTCTCCTCACTCTTATTCTCTTCCTCTTGAAATCCTAGCTTAAACCTGTCATAATTTGTTACCTCAACTGACTTGAATGGCCGCTCGCCCAAAACCCTAACCAGGTCATCTTGGTGAAGCACTTCCTTCTCAAGCAACAACTCTGCAATCTGTGCAACGTGCTCTTTGTGTTCCTCGATAAGTTGGACAGTGCGTTCGTAGGCCTTCCCTACCCATTCTCGCACTTCGCTGTCAATGATTGCCCCTGTCTTGTTGCTGTAGGGCTTGGACAATTCAAATGAATCCTCTCTTTGAGGGAATGAGAGCAGACCCACCTTCTCGCTGAACCCATATATGGCTACTTGCGCATAAGTCATCTTTGTCACCTTCTCCAAGTCATTTTGAGCACCTGTTGAGATTTTCCCCAACAGAACCTGCATCGGAAGAAGGAAATCACCCTCATTACCACTTAGTTTTCAGGTTATATCCACTATTCACGGAGTTAAGAATGTTGTATCTACCTGTTCAGCTGCTCTTCCACCAAGGGTCATGCAAGTCATATCGAATAGCTGTTCCTTTGTCATGAGAAGGTTTTCATTTGGAACATATTGGGCAAACCCAAGAGCTGCTGTACCACGAGGAACTATGGTTACCTTCAACAAGGGCTCAGCATGTTCTAAGAACCAGCCAGAAACAGCATGACCTGATTCATGGTAGGCAACAGTTCGGCGTTCCAACTTGCTTATTACCTGTCAAACAGAGAGATCAGATAACTTTATGCTCGGTACTTTTTTTTAATGAAGCCCAAAAAGATGAAGTTTCAGTCTCCTTTTTAATCATCTGCGGATTATGTACAGTGAGATAAACACACACAAACTCAAACAAGAACGGTCACATGGAATTAAGAAATTAAAGAATATGTGCAGGGTAACAGCTGACCAGAAAATTTTACCTTGTTCTTCTTCTCCAAACCACCAATTATCCTGTCAATTGCTGCTTCAAAATGTTCCATCTTGACTTCTGTTCCTTCATTCCTGGCAGCAATAAGAGCGGCCTCATTACAAACATTTGCAATGTCTGCTCCAGCAAAACCTGGAGTAAGAGCTGCAAGCCTCTGAGAGTAATATGATGGCTCATGATCAAGTCTGATTTTCTTCAAGTATATTTGAAATATTTGATCGCGGCCCTTAATATCAGGTTTGTCAATTGTAATTTGGCGGTCAAACCGACCAGGCCTTAATAAAGCTTTATCTAGAATATCAGGCCTATTAGTGCCAGCAAGCACAACAACTCCAGAAGTAGTTCCAAAACCATCCATTTCTACCAGAAGTTGATTAAGTGTGCTTTCGCGTTCATCATTGGCACCTGAGAAGCCTCCACGCCCCCTTGCTCGACCAATTGCATCAATTTCATCAATAAATATTATACTAGGAGCACATTGCCTTGCTTCTTGAAACAAGTTTCTCACCCTAGATGGTCCAACACCAACAAACATTTCCATGAAATCCGAACCAGAAATAGATAAAAATGGCACAGCCGATTCCCCTGCAGTTGCTTTTGCCAGAAGGGTCTTTCCTGTTCCCGGAGGGCCAACTAAAAGAGCACCTTTTGGAATTTTTGCTCCCAGCTCCTCATATTTCTTTGGATTCTTCAAGAAGTGCACAAACTCCATAATTTCTTGCTTTGCCTCATCACAGCCAGCTACATCTTTGAAATAGACCTGGAAAACAACAAAAAGAGACAAGAAAGTGAGAGTGAAAAAAGGAACTTGCGTAGCTCTTCCAGGGAAGAATTTTGTAGGCATAGCGTTCAAAAGATAGAGTAGAACCATCAAAATGAGGGCATAAAAACATAGCGACCAGGATTACCAATTGTAGAGAAAAAAATTAACCTTATTCTTGGCATTTTTATCTACTTTTGTCACATGTGCTTTTCCAATGTTGAAGATTCCCCTGCCACCCCGTCCGCCACCACCACCAACACCCAATCCTCCTTGCATTCTACGGCCCATATATATGAGAGATCCCAAGAGTAACAGTGTCGGCGCAAATCTTAACAGTTCCTGGTACCAAACCATTTCAGAAACATATGTGACGGGAACATAATCATGTGGGTCTATTCCTAATGCTTCTTGGGCTTCTTCCAACTTCTCCTCAAAAGATTCAACGCTACCAATATTGAAGTAGTATTCACATTCACCTCCATGTCCTCTTGAAGAACTACCACTTACAGGGCCTTGAACAACATCCTCACCTGTTTGATTCTGTGATGAGCTCCTAACATACACTTTCGCTACTGTTTTATTAGAAACAACTATGTGATCCACTAAGCCAGGTTCCAGAAGCTTGTTTTTGAACTCCTGGAAACTAATCTGCAAAACAAAATTAAAGAGCATGAGGAAAAATACACAGAAAGAAATGAACTGGATCATTTTCCTGCCAGAACCAAAAGAAAAAGGAGAAGAACAAAAATGATACATCAAACATGGTTCCACAGATTATGAATGGTTTGTAGATTGAAAAGTAATTAAACCTCTCAAGCTTTCAAAATCAGATGGAGCTATCAAACCATCCCTCTCTAGTCCCAGGTATAGGCATCCAATTAATTAAATTCAAGTCATAGTTAGCCCCACCCATGGAAAAGTTTATTCATTTATTCTGCATTTGCACATTTCTTATTGATCATTAGTACAACAGATAGCGAAGCACACATTTCATTACTACATTAACCAAATGTATCGTAGAACGAGTTCCTGAATGTAACTCAACAAATTAAGTTCAAGATTTTCTAATATAAACAAGTAAAATATGCGATAAACAACTTAATTAGTAAAAAACATTCCATATTAGAAATTCAGTATTTTACATGATAAGCAAGCAGTGAAAACAAAAAGAGAGCCTTGGTATGTGCCAGTCAAAAAGTAGTTCAATTTTATCAGGTGAAGAGTAAAGAACCATGATATCCTGAAACCAAGGAGAATAAGATTACCTGCTTCAGTTTACGACCACCTATATTAAAGGAAGAAAGAAACAACCCAACAACTAACAGAGGAGTTACTAAGTTTTGAAACAGCTT